TAAATCTGAACCCTTCCCCTCCCCCCGGAGGTTTTTTCAAATGTTTAGTTACAGCTCAGTCTCTGCTGACCGCCGCAAATGAGCGAAAAAACAGGATTAACCCTGAAATGAACACCGGAGTCCATGGCGTTCAAATGGGCTCTGATGTGTCTTTGGTACTGTGCTGAGAATGCAGCCCATCCATTCACTAGAGACATCACTGAGAATGCAGCCCATCCATTCACTAGAGACATCACTGAGATGCAGCCCATCCATTCACTAGAGACATCACTGAGAATGCAGCCCATCCTTCACTACAGACATCACTGAGAATGCAGCCCATCCATTCACTACAGACATCACTGAGAATGCAGCCCATCCATTCACTACAGACATCACTGAGAATGCAGCCCATCCATTCACTACAGACATCACTGAGAATGCAGCCCATCCATTCACTAGAGACATCACTGAGAATGCAGCCCATCCATTCACTAGAGACATCACTGAGAATGCCCGCCCATCCATTCACTAGAGACATCACTGAGAATGCCGCCCATCCATCACTCACTAGAGACATCACTGAGAATGCCGCCCATCCATTCACTGAGAGACATCACTGAGAATGCAGCCCATCCATTCACTAGAGACATCACTGAGAATGCAGCCCATCCATTCACTAGAGACATCACTGAGAATGCAGCCCATCCATTTCACTAGATTCACTGAGAATGCAGCCCATCCATTCACTAGAGACATCACTGATGCCGCCCATCCATTCACTAGAGACATCACTGAGAATGATGCCGCCCATCCATTCACTAGAGACATCACTGAGAATGCCGCCCATCCATTCACTAGAGACATCACTGAGAATGCAGCCCATCCATTCACTAGAGACATCACTGAGAATGCAGCCCATCCATTCACTAGAGACATCACTGAGAATGCAGCCCATCCATTCACTAGAGACATCACTGAGAATGCAGCCCATCCATTCACTAGAGACATCACTGAGAATGCAGCCCATCCATTCACTAGAGACATCACTGAGAATGCAGCCCATCCATTCACTAGAGACATCACTGAGAATGCAGCCCATCCATTCACTACAGACATCACTGAGAATGCAGCCCATCCATTCACTAGAGACATCACTGAGAATGCAGCCCATCCATTCACTACAGACATCACTGAGAATGCAGCCCATCCATTCACTAGAGACATCACTGAGAATGCAGCCCATCCATTCACTACAGACATCACTGAGAATGCAGCCCATCCATTCACTAGAGACATCACTGAGAATGCAGCCCATCCATTCACTAGAGACATCACTGAGAATGCAGCCCATCCATTCACTAGAGACATCACTGAGAATGCAGCCCATCCATTCACTAGAGACATCACTGAGAATGCAGCCCATCCATTCACTAGAGACATCACTGAGAATGCAGCCCATCCATTCACTAGAGACATCACTGAGAATGCAGCCCATCCATTCACTAGAGACAGACATCACTGAGAATGCAGCCCATCCATTCACTAGAGACATCACTGAGAATGCAGCCCATCCATTCACTAGAGACATCACTGAGAATGCAGCCCATCCATTCACTAGAGACATCACTGAGAATGCAGCCCATCCATTCACTAGAGACATCACTGAGAATGCAGCCCGTCCATTCACTAGAGACATCACTGAGAATGCAGCCCATCCATTCACTAGAGACATCACTGAGAATGCAGCCCCCGTCCATTCACTAGAGACATCACTGAGAATGCAGCCCGTCCATTCACTACAGACATCACTGAGAATGCAGCCCATCCATTCACTAGAGACATCACCGAGAATGCAGCCTATCCATTCACTAGAGACATCACTGAGAATGCAGCCCATCCATTCACTAGAGAGCATGACATCACCGAGAATGCAGCCCGTCCATTCACTAGAGACATCACTGAGAATGCAGCCCGTCCATTCACTAGAGACATCACTGAGAATGCAGCCGTCCATTCACTAGAGACATCACTGAGCATGCAGCCCGTCCATTCACTAGAGACATCACTGAGAATGCAGCCCATCCATTCACTACAGACATCACTGAGAATGCCGCCCATCCATTCACTAGAGAGCCCATCCATTCACTGAGAATGCAGCCCATCCATTCACTAGAGAGTGATGACATCACCGAGAATGCAGCCCATCCATTCACTAGAGACATGACATCACTGAGAATGCAGCCCATCCATTCACTAGAGCGATGACATCACTGAGAATGCAGCCATCCATTCACTAGAGAGTGATGACATCACCGTATGAAGTATTGTGACGTTTTGCACGATTGTTTCCATATTGCAGATTTGCAGCTTCTCATGTCCATACGACAGGCTGGATGTGTAGGTTCTGTTCACACACCAGGGTAAGGATCCTAACCTAAAAGTGACAGTTATTTTCAGCTGAGTTGAATGAAAATGGCAGTTAGAGTACATGGCTGAAATAAAGACCCTTATCCTTGTGTTGGATCTGTGGATGGGGCGGGTTTGGCCGTACGTCTCGTGGTGACATTTGTGAATGGGATCTGTTCTGCAGAAGGGATCTCTCACGGCTGGCCCATCCCCCGGGTCCTGCGTCGCCGATAATCGGCTCCCTGTAATTGTGATGGATGTGGAACGATCACGGCTTGGACGGGCGCAGCCATCATTATGGATCCCCCGAGTATGGAGCTCGCTAGTAAACCTTTCGCGGATCGATAAATCAATAATATTCCCAGCCGTTCCACAGTTTGTGTTTATGAGTCGTAAAAAATCTGCCGCGTGACGCCGGAGGGCGCAGACCGCAGCGGGACGGGGGAGCTGTGCATTACTTTCTGCTGGAAATTTGGATTTACTCGAAACCTTTGAGATATACATTTGTATGTGGTCTGATTCACCGAATCATCGTATCCGCATGCAGGATAAGGCGGTCCCACTAGTCCTCCTGTACGGGGTGCAGGGGGGGGCAGGCCGCTGGGTGATTTGGCACGACAGGGGCAATTGCTGGAACCGATCCCCTGTATGGCTCTCCCTGCAGCAGCTGAAAGCCGGCTTCTTCTCCTCTCCCTCCTGCTGGCTCTCAGCTGCTGCAGAGAGAACCGTACAGGGGATCAAATGCTACCCCCCTCCCCCTCGCCTCACCAATTGCCCTCCCTGTGCACCATATCTTTCCCTGTTCTGCCCCGGGCCCCTGTGTGCCCCCCACCCCTGCAGTGCTGCCGGCTACCCTCCTCTCCTTCCCACCGGCAGCACACAATAGAATCCTTCAGTATGGAGAGCGGGGGAAGGGTGCAGTAAAGATGTCACATTTATTTATTTCTGGTACTTATATAGCGCCGTCAATTTACATATATATTGTACATTCACATCAGGCCCCGCCCCCGAGGAGCATACAATCTAAGGTCCCTAACTCACATTCATACATACACATACTAGGGCCAATATATACAGGAGCCAATTCACCTACCAGCATGTCTTTGGAGTGTGGGAGGAAACCCACGCAGGCACAGGGAGAATGTGCAAACTCCAGGCAGGTGATGCCATGGTTGGGATTCGAACCAACGACCCGAGTACTGCCAGGTGGAAGTGCTAACCATTTAGCCACTGTGCTGCCTGTATTTACCAGCCACTTCCTTTCCAGTGAATGAACACAATAAATGATCGGTACTGATCGTTCACTGTGTTCATTCATCGCTGAAGCATAGTAAACTGCGTTTAATTAAGGGGGGCCCGGACAGGTTGGCTGTATGGGGGCTCCGTGGTTTCTAACAGCAGCCCTGTCCGTATGTTCGGTGAAAACTGCTACAACGGGATTCATCGATCCATTGAAGTGTATGGAAACCCCGCAATCCGCTGCTCAGATCTGCCTTTCGGTCTGTTAAATCTTCCATTGAAAGCGATTTGTTATATCTGTTCAATAAGTGCAAAATGTTCCCGATCCCGCCAGAAATCTAGTGAGCTGGTAACTTCCCCTGCTGCACTTTTATCAGTTACATGGGGGGGGAGGGGGGGGTTGGATTTACTAAAACTGGCGCAGCCAATCGGTTTCCAGGTTTTAGTCATACCGCTGCGATTTTGTGTGCAATTTCAGCGCGATTTCTGAAGAATTTATGGCTGCTTGCGAAGATTTTCAACAATTTCTTGCAATTTGCTGGACGGTTTCCATTCTATTCTATGTATGTGAAATCGCAGCAAAATTGCAGAAAAAAAGTCACGCAAGGACTACTTTAGAAATCGCCGTTGCAGCCCTTAAGTCGCTGCGTTTTGTAATGAGCCGGAACTCGCCGCGTTTTGTGATGAGTTGGAAAGCTACGTTTTGTGATGAGCGGGAACGCGTCACGCTTTGTCACCAGTCACACCGCTGGGATATATAATTGCGCCATTTGTGTGCTATTTCAGCGTGATTTTAGCTGCGATTTCTGAAGACTTTTACTGCTACTTGCGAATATTTTCAACGCTTTCTTGCAATTTTCCATTCTACTCTACGCATGTAAAATCGCAACGAAACGGCAGAAACAGTAACGCAAGGACTACTTTGGAAATTGCGCTGCAGCAAATCGCAAATGTTAAGACATTGACGTGCATTAGATGCGATTTCAGGTACGATTTCAATTCGCAATTCGCACCGGTATTACTGGGCGCTTAACGGGACTGTGATAGTACGGCGAGCAATATGACCCTAACTGGCGCTGGTGGGAACTGACTAACTGCCACTGATATCTCCAGTAACATTATGCAGTGATCAGTGACAAGGCCGGATCTGGGGGGGGGGGGTTGGGGTGGGCTATGGAAATCATGCTGCAGCAAATCGCAAATGTTAAGACATTGAAGTTCATTAGATGCGATTTCAGGTGCGATTTTCAATTCCCAAATCGCACCTGAAGATGCACTGGTATGACTGGGCACTAAGTCCCTGATCACAGCGGGTGCGACTTGGCATGCAATTTGCGCGCAGGGGTGGACTGACCATTTGGAAACTCGGGCACTGCCTGAGGGCCCGGGGTCAGTAGGGGGCCCCATGAGATGCCCCTGGTACCTTTTTCATAGGCTTTTTTGAGTTTGGGCAAGGACACAGGGGCCCCATGATCCCCTATTGCCCGGGGGCCCCATGAGTTGTCGGTCTGCCCCTGTTTGCACGCCATACGACTTGACAAGTCACACCCTATTGTCCGCAGCTACAGCGGTCATATCGGTGCAGTTCTGACTTGGCTGAAGCCGCACCGATTTCCAAGGTAGCGCATGCACTACATTTGATGCGATTTGCATAGATATGTGTCCGATGTCTTGCGAATCGCACCTCAAATTGTCATGTCACCTGACTTGGTGTGACCAGGGGGGGGGGTTTGTGCCAAAGCCTGATTGAACAAGCTGAAGTTAGACGCTGATTGGCCGCCATGCACAGCTGCACCAGATTCGCCAACCTCTGTGGGTGTGTGTTAACGACACCCGAAAGCGGTCCGCAAAACGTGGTGCGATGTGAAGAATCGGATCGCATTGGTGTTAACGGGGGCGGACTTACAACTCATGGGGGGCCCCGGGCAATAGGGGATCATGGGGCCCCCGTGTACTTGCCCAAACTCAAAAAAGCCTATGAAAAAGGTACCAGGGGCATCTCATGGGGCCCCCTACTGACCCCGGGCCCTTGGGCAGTGCCTGAGTTTCCAAATGGTCAGTCCGCCCCTGGGAGTGAATACCCGTGCGATCCGAATCTAGCGCCGACCAAAAAAGGGTCCTGCGTGTTTTTGGTGTGAATAGAGCCATACAAAATGTACGACTCCGATCGCACCGCACACAAATCGCATGTGATCTGCGCAGGAATGCAGCGTGGTTCCCGTGCGAATCACATGCGATGTCCCGCACCGCATGTATGTGAACCCGGTGTGAGTGTCTGTACCTGAACCGGCTTAATTCCCATGATGCAAATTGAGCTTTTTCTTTTCTGCTGCTGTCTGAGCTGTGCTGTCAGGATGGGGGATGGTAAAAGACACGAGGTTTGTCAGGGTGTCAGTTCTTCATATCAATGGCTCCCCTGTGATTAGGAGGGGGAGGGGGAGTTGTTTGGCGGTTGTGTACCGCCATGACGGTTTGTCTCTACTTCCTTTTCGATCGCCTGTGTAAGAGAAAACAGACGGTTTGATTTTCCTGCGTTTTCAATTTTGCGCCTTTTGGGCCTTTTGTCAGATCGAGTATAAAACGTGTTAATCTGAGTCTTTCGTCGAAGCGGGATCGTTACCATAAACCGCGCTGGGGGCGGGGCTGGCGAGGATTTAGCCGAGTTTATCTCGCCTCGCTGGGGGTCACGTCCATCTTGCTTTGAGGCGAGCCCCTCCCACGGGCGAGAATATCGCAAAACAGTCATGTTAGAACAGGGGCGGACTGACAACTCATGGGGCCCCCGGGCAATAGGGGATCATGGGGCCCCTGTGTCCTCACCCACACTCAAACCACACCCAAAAAAGCCCATGAAAGGTACTAGGGGCATCTCATGGGGCCCCCTACTGACCCCGGGCTCACAGGCAGTGCCCGAGTACCCGAATGGTCAGTCCGCCCCTGTGTTAGAATGATATCCACTGATCAGCCATAACATTATGACCACCCCACCTAATATTGAGTAGGTCCCCCTACAGCTCTGACCCACCAAGACATGGACTCCAGTAGACCTCTGAAGGTACGTGGTGGTATCTGTCACCAAGCCGTCGGTAGCAGATCCTTTAAATCCTGTAAGTTGGGAGGTGGAGCCTCCATGGATCCGACTTGTTTTTCCAGCACATCCCACAGATATTCTATTAAACAGAGATCTTGAGGATTTGGAGGCCAAGTCAACATCTCAAACTTGTTGTGTTCCTCAAACCCATTCTTGAACTATTTTTGCAGTGTGGCAGGGTGAATTATTCTGAGGGCACTGACATCAAGGAATATCGTTTCCATGAAGGGGTGGACTTGGTCACCAACAAGGGTTAGGTAGGTGGTACGCGCCGAGTAACATCCACATGAATGGTGGAGCCAAGCTTTCCCAGCAGGACATTGCCCCAAGCATCACGCTGCCTCCGCGGGCTTGTCTTCTCCCCATACTGCAGCCTGGTGCCATCTCCTCCCCAGGTAAGCAACGCACACCCACCTGGCCAATCACATGATGGAAAAGAAAACTTCATTCATCAGACCAGGCCATCTTCTTCCATGGCTCCGTGGTCCAGTTCTGATACATGCCCAGTGTAGGCACTTTTGGCTGTGGACACGGGTCAGCATGGACACCTTGACCAGTCTGCAGGTCCACAGCCCCCCCATACACAGCAAACTGAGATGCTCTGTGTGTTCTGACACCTTTCTATCAGAACCAGCATTCACTTTCCAGTTCCAAAAGCTCTTCTATTGGATCAGACTACACGGGGAAGGCTTTCCCTCCCCGCCTCCATCAATGAGCCTTCCCTCCACGCCTCCATCAATGAGCCTTCCCTCCCCGCCTCCATCAATGAACCTTCCCTCCCCGCCTCCATCAATGAGCCTTCCCTCCCCACCTCCATGAGTCAGCCTTCCCTCCCTGCCTCCACCAGTGAGCCTTCCCTCCCCACCTCCACCAATGAGCCTTCCCTCCACACCTCCATCAGTGAGCCTTCCCTCCACGCCTCCATCAGTGAGCCTTCCCTCCCGCCTCCATCAATGAGCCTTCCCTCCGCGCCTCCATCAATGAGCCTTCCCTCCGCGCCTCCATCAATGAGCCTTCCCTCCGCGCCTCCTCCAATGAGCCTTCCCTCCGCGCCTCCTCCAATGAGCCTTCCCTCCGCGCCTCCTCCAATGAGCCTTCCCTCCGCGCCTCCTCCAATGAGCCTTCCCTCCTCCGCGCCTCCTCCAATGAGCCTTCCCTCCGCGCCTCCTCCAATGAGCCTTCCCTCCCCCTCCTCCATGAGCCTTCCCTCCCGCCTCCTCCATGAGCCTTTCCCTCCCCGTGCCTCCACCAATGAGCCTTTTCCCTCCCCGCCTCCTCAATGAGCCTTCCCTCCGCGCCTCCCTCCAATGAGCTTTCCCTCCCCGCCTCCTCCAAGTGAGCCTTTCCCAACGCCCTCCTCCAATGAGCTTTCCCTCCCGCCTCCAACAGTGAGCTTTCCCTCCCCGCCTCCAACATGAGCCTTTCCCCCTCCCCGCCTCCATCACAGTGAGCTTTCCCTCCCCGCCTCCAACAGTGAGCTTTCCCTCCCCGCCTCCATCAGTGAGCTTTCCCTCCCCGCCTCCAACAGTGAGCTTTCCCTCCCCGCCTCCAACAGTGAGCTTTCCCTCCCCGCCTCCAACAGTGAGCTTTCCCCCTCCCCGCCTCCAACAGTGAGCCTTCCCTCCCCGCCTCTTCCAATGAGCCTTCCCTCCCCGCCTCTTCCAATGAGCCTTCCCTCCTCCCCGCCTCCTCCAATGAGCCTTCCCTCCCCGACTATGGCTGATGGGTGTAAATACCGCACTACGTGGGGTCACTACATGGGGTCAGTATGTGGGGGTCAGTATGTGGGGTCACTATGTGGGGTCACATCCACCTTACCTCGGGGTGAACCCTTTCCTATGGATGAGAATATCACAATATAATCATATAAATATCGTGTCGCGTGTGATCGGGTCCAGGTGTCACCGTGTGCGGGCATATTGAGAATTCAGGAGGACGGCGCCATTCTCACCTGTAACGTGTCATAGACATGTGCGGTTCGTTTCATTCCGAAACAAAATTCAGACTAATTTTTTTTAAATTCGGATGTATCTGAATTTTTCAAATGACAAAAGTAACGAATTAAAAAGAATATGAAATAACAAAGTTACATTTCATCCCAAAGTCGAATTCAAAATGAAATTTGAAATTTTCATATTGCTGACTATTGCTGATTTCCTTCAAAGACTGTGTGTATCAGGATTGAGGATATAGCCATCTTCCGACATTCAAATTTTTTAAAGAATTGAATCGAATAAAACAGAATAGAAAACAAAAGAACAGAATAAAATAGAATAGAAAACAAAAGAACAGCATATAAAATAAAGGAATAGAATAGGATAGAAAAGAATAAGATAGAGAATATTAGAACTGAAAATATTAGAATGGAATAGAATAAAATATATATCCTCTGAAATTGACTTTCAAGAAGAATAGTTGCTCTGCTATCTAATAGTAAACATTTTGTTCAACTCTTTTCATTTCATAATAAATGAATACATATTAAGGCCCCTTTCACCCGGGCGTTCTGTATGTCCATTTTTCATCTGTCTGTTTACGGATGAAAAACGGCCCCCCATGTATTTCTATGGACTAGCGGATATAAACTGATGAGCATCTTTTTACATCCATTAATGTCCGCGTCCGTTAACATCTGTTTTTTTTGAATGGAAGAAAACCCTATTTTTCTTCTGCAAAAAAACCCCGCAACGGACAAAAACAGATATCAATGGATGTAAACGGACCAAAAACAGGTGTAAATGGATGAACACAGACATAAATGTAAATGAATGAAAAACGATGTAAGTGGGTAAAAAACAATGGATGAAACCGGACAAACAGATAAAAACGGATTAAAAATTGGATGTAAACGGATGAAAAGGGATAATCGTGGACATAAACAAATGAAAAATGGATGTACACGGATGAAAAACTGATGTAAATGGATGTAAAAGGATGAAAAAACTGATGTAAACAGATGAAAAATGGACATAAACAGATGAAAAATGGATGTAAACGGATGAAAATGGATGATCATGGACATAAACGGATGATAAAAAAATGGATGTAATCCAATGTAAACAGATAAAAAATGGATGTATATGGCTGAAAAATAAATGTAAACGGATGAAAATAGATGATCATGGACATAAATTGATGAAAAATGGATGTAAACTGAATGAAAATGGATGAAAAACAGCTGTAAATGGATGATCTTGGACATAAATGGATGAAAAACGGATGTAAATGGATGAAAAATGGATGTAAATGGATGAAACTGGATGATCATGGACATAAATGGATGAAAAACGGATGCAAATGGATGAACACTAATATAAACGGATGTAAACGGATGAGAAACAGATGGTAAATGGATGATCATGGGCATAAACTGATAAAAAAAAATGGATGTAAACCAATGTAAAT